TTTAACAATATCAAAAATCATAATTACTAAAAAAGTACAACATACACCCAGTTGAGTATAAATATTTTTCTAGATACACATATCATTTATATATGTTTTTGCTTGTCTTTACTTTCCTAATTAAAACCTTGTGATTACTGACACCTAGGTCTGCAAAGTTATACAAGTTATACTGTGTAAAAAAACAAACCATTTTACATAAAATACGTTATTTCTTAAATTTAATACAAATGGTTATTAAAATGTGTTCGAAATGTATAATTTATTCACAGACAAAAGTAAGTTTTTCAAATTATTGTTATTTTTGTAACTACGACTACCAAATATTTGAAATTGAAGCTCAATTCACACTTTATATTAACTTTTAAACTTTTTCATCAGAAATGATTAAGCTCTTACAAATAAAAAAATTGTTATTGAATATCATAAACGAGCTCGCGAAATTCTTATAGCAAGTAGCTTAACTCTAAGAATCTTAAAAAATTTCGAAATAGTTGTATTGATCAATTTTAAAGAATCAAAGCTTTATATTTAAAGCTGTATGCTCATGAATATCAGAAAATATTTTAAACACTTCTCGATTTGAAGAGAAGGTACGGTTTAAACCAGAAGACACACGAAATATTCAGATAATGAATAAGTAGGTCTTATAATATTTTGTGTGCGGGCGTGTGTTAGAGTATCTCATTAGTCTAATCATTTAATCAGTCGTATCTCAGATACTTTTCGACCTACTTTAACAATTTATGGCTGAGATGGTTTACTTTTATGTTTCGGTTTAAGGGTTAGAAGAAAAACAACTTTTATACATTTTATTCAGATTATTTTTACGATTTTTGAAAAAAGATTTGTCGTTTTATTAATGTAAAAAAAAAAATCATAATCTAATCATATCTTATGATTAAGTTGATGAATTTAATTATGCAAGGTTTTTTGTTCGCTTTTTTTTTAAGTAGCTTTGATTAATACATTCAAGGTTTATATACATATTATTCAGATTGGTACAACAAGTTACTAATTTGTCATATGAATTCATCTCTTAGTATAGTTTTATTTTATTTAAACAAGAAACATATTTATCTTTTATTTTCACACATTTCATAAGCTTTTTTTTTCCTTAATGAAATAATAATTTGATTTTTATTGAATAAATATTTTGATCCCATTGACAGATTAATTTTTTTTCATCTGAGGCTGTAATATTTATATTTAAATGATTACTACAGTTAAGAGATACACATATAGTTTCTCAGTCAAAAACTATAAGCTATTATTTTAACTATAAATTATAGCTGTATTTACAGCTACAATCAGCTACAATAATAGCTGTAATTGACTACAAAGTAGCTATAATTATGGACAAATAACAACTATAAAAAGTAGCTGTTTACAGCTACAAATTTCCAGCGAATTTTAATTTTACAGGATTTATACAATAATCTTGTTTTCTTGTAAGGTATATCAGCCATGTAAGATGATATTATCCGTATAATAACACTAAAAGTGGGGAGTTCAAGTCTTTTTGAACAATAAACGAAAAAAATTTTAACAGTAACATTTTTTTGTTTCTTCATTTATTGTTCAAGAATACTTGAACCCCTTACTTTTAGTGTTATTATACGGATAATATCCCTTGTTATGCCTGATATACCTTACAAAAAAAAAGATTATTGAATAAATTGTGTTAATTAAAATTCGCTAGAAATTTATAGCTGTAAACAGCTACTTTTTATAGTTGTTATTTCTAGTTGTTATTTGTACACGGTTATAGCTACTTTGTAGTCAATTATAGCTATTATTTTAGCTGATTATAGCTGTAAATACAGCTATAATTTATAGTTAAAATAATAGCTAATAATTTGTTTAATGATAAATAACGTTGGATTGCAGTTAACGACCAAATCATTTAATTGGCTTTCCTGCATAATTTAATAAGGTTCAAAAATTATCTTTTACTGCAGAGAAAGCAGTACAATATTTATCAATGGCTATTGAGAGTGTCAAAAAACTGTGTGGATTTTTTTAATGGACAAAGTAAACTTAGGCTCAGTTTTTTTTCATAAATGAATTTGTCGTTATCTCCAATCAGTTAGTATCACGAGGTGCTTACTGGCAAAATTGTTAATTAATAAATGATTTATTAAGAGCTAAGGCGCCTTTCAAAAAATAACACAGGAAGATAACTGGTTTTTTTATCAATTTTAATTATTGTTTTTACGAGCTTCCAAGAACAGCGATGAATCTAAAGAATGGTATGAATGAAGACGTCAAGGGCTGTACTGTTTAAATTTTTTATTGTTGTTGACAACGTTTCAACTTCACATGAGGTAGTCCTTTTCAAGTCACTAAAATACAATACTATATAATAACAAATTATAGGAAATTTATAGACAACAGCAGATTAAATAACAACTATTTACAAATTTGCAAAGAGCAACGTCAAAAAGATCAATAATACATAAATTTAAAAAAAATTTGTGCTCAAAGCAATCACAGCAATGAAATCACAATTCTATTTGAAAGCTTAATCGCTCGATCAACTAACAAATAGACTACTCCAACTTTTTGTGAAACGGGACTATGGGAAAAGAAGTTTAGATAGATATAAGCATATGTTTGTTTTAGGTACCAATAAGTTTTAATTATACCATAGTTGTCCCAGTGGATTGCTACGTCTAAGAAATTAATGGAATTATCAATAGGTTTTTCTAATGTTAATTAAATGTGTTCATCTGTACTATTGAGATATATAAAAATGGCATCGATATAACTATTTGGAACTCAGGCAATAATGTCATCAACATAAATTTTTAAATATTTTATTGGAAATTTGTAAGTGTTGAATAAAAAAGTTATTATATCCTGCACAACTAAGTCAGCTAAAATTGGACTGCATGGAGTGCCCATAGCAGAGCCAAATCTCTGTAATATTTGTTATTATACACAAACTGTAGGCTAAGATCCGAATATTCTCAATAAACATATGTGACTTCCAAACCACTATGGTACAGCATCTATATGACTTCCAAATAAAATGATCAGTTATAGAACATTTTGTTTACTATAAGACTTAAATAATTAAGTAAGTTTATTCTTGGAATGTGAAGCTTAAAAAAATTGGGACANTTCATGTAACAATCTTATATCGAATACTTTTGTTATTACCATTATTGCGTTACAGTCAAAGATTATTTTAAAAAGTTTTTAATATAATACGAAATTTCTATTTCATATTATACACAAAGGAATAGTGGTCCATGATAAATTTAATTACTTCTAAGAATTTATTTAATGATAAATTGATATCTAAAACCAAAATGAGCCATTTTTTTTCAATCGCACGTTTGACAGCCTCAAAATAAATATTATTAAACATAGAAGTCACATTAAAGCTCACAAGACAGAACCTTTTAGGTACCTTAAAATTATAAGTTTCATTTCCAAACTAGAAACTATTTTTTATATTATATTTGAAAACCAGCAAATAAGCTTTAAAAAATTTTGCAACCCAGTTAGAAAGGAAATAAGAAGGCGATCCTATGAAAAAAAACTAATAGTCTAAGGGGTTTGTCAGGCTTGTGTACCTTAATAAGACCGTAGCATCGTGATAAATTACATTTGTCTTTAATATATTTGAATATGATCGTTGTCAACAATAATGAAAAATTTTAACAGTATAACCATTGGCTACTTCATTCATACCGTTCATTAAAATATTGTTGTGGTTTATAAAAAATAAAAAAAATTACACCGTAAGGACAAAATGATGGCCATGTAAATGTTAGCTGCAACGAGAGTCACACCTTTATCAGGCCTAACAAAAAACATTTAAATTGCAGCGTCACTCATTGTATCACAACAGGAGGAGTACACGTTGTTCCCTTAAGCTTTTTTGCGACTTATCGTAAGCTCAGTGCGTACTCTTGCACTCAAGTATTTTTCTTAGCTACTAAGGGTCAGTCGTACCAACCCTTAGCTCTAGTTATAACCATAGCAGCGACGTAGTTACGAAAGTAAAATCCTTTGGGATTAACAAATCACCTAAAGTTGAAAGTACGCAAGTGGGCATTTTTGTTTTAAGCAGGGCCCCAATTTCTTCAAATAATAAGTGCAATCGTTGCGTACATGATTTAATTAGATATTTTTTTGTCTTTAATTTTAAATTTGTTATTTGCGATTTTTTTGTCATCAAAATAAAGTGTGAGAAATATAACCATTAAGTCTGTTGTTTATTGTGCTGAAAACTTGAACTGCGTGAAAATTTATTTAACTGCGAGGACACCTCAGGTTAAGAAAATCTCGACCATACAATTACTTCTTTATTAATGTAATTATTGTAGACTAAGCACTCCACGTTACCTGATAATTGGTGCTTGTGTAATTAATTAATGTATAAATAATAATATTATTGGCCAATGAGTGTAACATATTACTGATGATTCGCGTTTGTGTCATTATTTAATGCTTCAGTAATTAATGTGTGTAAGCACATAAACATATTTAAACTTTTTACAAATTTGTTTTCTGATTCTAATAAAAATTTTAGTCTTTATAGTAATGAGAAGTAGACACGCTGACAACTAAAATGTAATTTAGACCAAAGAAAAGTGTAGCTAAACTCTGAAGTATAGATAAGTAGCTCGATAATAGTACGTTTAAAAATAGCGTTGCTATAACTGAAAATTATAAAATCAATATCGATAAATTATTCTCTCATACTGTCAGATTACTACACTATATTTCTCAAAGTTAAGCTTACTGTAAGAATTTTGCAACCTCGTTTATAATGGTCAATAACAATTTTCTAAATCATAACAGCGTCATCATTTCTAAAAAAGAAGTTTATAAATAAATAAAAAGTGTGAATTTACCATTAATTTTAAATATTTAGTCCATCTGCTTTCTATCGGACAATGAATAATTGTAAATATAATCACTTAAAACATTTATTATTCGTTTTTATCACAATATGTTACTATTATACTCTTACATATTTACAGCAGCTTCAACTTTAATAAGAGAGATGCTGACAGTATGTCCAGTACAAAGAGCGAATATTAAGAAGATTTGCTCTCATTGGTGGATTAATAAAGGTTATGAACAGAGTTGCTCTGAATTCGCTGAAGAATTAGCTAAAAAAATGCCAGGACGATTGGACCTCTTACTTTCATTAGTGACTAAATCTACAAATGCTGAGAAGTTTGAGGTAGGAAGCCATCAGACATCTTCAAATTCACCATCGGTTACCAAACTAACAGAAGATCTATCTTTTAAGACCCTTCTGCCAATGAGATGCCATTCCGTTGGTAATGTAATAGAACTAGACACAAGTTTAGTTGGAAAAAAAAAAAAAGGAGAATTCATCGATGTGCCATCAACATATGATTCAACTATATTGACCTCTGAAAAAAGAGGACTTGTGAATGAAGGGGAAAGTACCGCTCATCAAAATCTAATTGAGAAACTTTCTTTGACCAAGTAGGTTTATTTTATGGAATTTATACATACATATACTTGTTTTTTAAGAATACTACATACGTTGCTCCAAATTTATAATTAGATAAGATTCTTCAGAAATTTCGTAACTCAAAAAAGTGAGACCTAAGATAAGTAGACTACAAACTCTGAGTCGCAGATCTTAAAGTAATGACATGGTTACAATATAGCCAGTATAGGTTCATTGAGAGACAAAAAATTTAATAGTTTTTCTCCAACCACATCATACTTCATGACTCTTTTAGCGCTCAAGAACATGCTCATTATATTTCGAATTATTTTTAAAGTTCGTTGTTTAATGGATTTCACTAGAAATTTTATTGTACTATATGCATAGTCAATTCGCCCAAAGTATTAAATTTTTTATTTGTTTCCAACAAAAGTGGTAAGCGTGTTTACGAATTGTAAACAATATTATTGGAATCGAAGTTCCGATTTCTATTCAAAGAGGCATTTATTAAAGTGAAACTTTTTATGTTGGGTCGTGAGCAGCCGTGTGAGGAGAAATTCGTTACAACAAAACGTAGCCACCTACCCTGCAGCCCAAGCCCTCTCCTCAATCTCCTCTCTCATACACTTCATCCCGCTCCGTCTCTCTCTTTCGCAGCACGGGCCACTCTACTATCTACCGTTCCGTCTCTCTTTCTCTCACCTGTAGTCTGTATGCCCCCTTCTCCTCACGCTGGTACTATACGTATAAATGTATACTTATTTTATAGGTATGTTAGTATGTATGTTTCTATACGCTACAATTGAACACTAAACCAATGTGCTGGTTGAAGCTGAGGTACAGGTATGGAGAATTGAGAAAAGAAGAGAAATGCAACAGCTGTACCTGTACTAGAGACAAAGTATATGCATAAATATTGTAGACATATACACGTATTGCACGTCTTGGTCATGACATACATGTTTATATGCATACATGTATATTACATGTATGTAAAAAAATGTGCATAAATTATAATATATGTATAGTACGACAATCTTACTTTTGAAAACAAAAAAAAACGCTGTATCTCGGAAGAAAAGCAAAATTGACTAAAAATAATAATTTTTACAGGCCTTCTAAAGGGAAACTACATGATCGAAGTGCACGAATATGGCAGGGTTGGACCATGTACAAACATAATCTTAATTATTTCCTTTTTCGACTGTACCTTGAAATGGACAAGTAAAGAGAACATTTTTTTTATTCAGTATGACATGCTTAGAACATTAATACGAATTTTGACAAGACCTTCAAAGAATTTGTGTTACAACATAACCTCTCGAAGTAATAAAAACAGTCGTTTCTTCAAAAGAAAACCAAATAGGCCAAAATAAATTCCACGTATAGAAAATAATTATTGAGAAGCGAAAATATATGTTACACAGATTCATTCGAACAATCGTAATAACTCTCAAAATAATAAGTCATATCTCAAAGGCAACGCTGAATCCTACATATCCTAGCTATCAATTGATTTATATTTTATTCTGTATCATGTATTATAAGAATAATTGTCACGTGACCATAACGTATATTCTTATTATTTATTTTAAGATTAGTAGAAATTAGTTATAAGCACGGGAAAATTTTAATATTAATCTGTAAGTAAGTTAAGAAAACGAATTAAACGACAAATTAGAACTTTACAATAGAAAATAGCTATATGTCAATTATTTTCCTTAATCTCAATCACATAGAGTGTGGATTACCTAGTGGTCAGTGGAAGCTTTAGTGCCTAAATAAGAAGTGATACTCGAATCTTATGTTAGACAATATAAAAATCTGAATATACCTTCTGTAAAATATCTCAAATAACCCACTGCAATGAATCAAATATGGTGCAATTATCATTTGAATAAGTATACGTGGTTATAAGGTTTGGTTTAAGTAAGTATTTTAATATTGAATAAATGAACAGTTATAAGGAGTGTAACAGAGTATAGTAGTCATGGCAGGACTTGCCAGGCTAAGCAGTATCCAAGCCAGTACTAGACTGCCTGATTTCAGCAATTTTTTCGGTTGTTTCTAAACATCTCCCTGTACTAATAAGATCTCCAACGTTGCACTTACACCTCTCTTATACGATCACATACTTATTTCTAGTTGTATGTGAATATATGTGTATCAACATCTAAAAAGATTGAAAGAAAATGTCTTGTAGTATCACTTCATCTCAAAAAGGGTAAAATCGTATGACAATAAATGTAGGTTAACCCAAGAAATACGCTTATTTACGAATTAAAAGATTATTATAGACTAAGATTACTCAAGACACAATGATAACCGAATAATTCGTTTATAGTATCTTGTATAAATAAACTATTTGTGGAGAAAGATGAACAAAATATTATTTTCTTCCTAATAAATAGAAAGAAGTCGAACAAACGATTGTTCATTCCAAAACTAGAAAATTTAATTGAACTAAAAAAACATTAACTTTTATGAAGAAAAGCTACAATTAAAAAAAACCTGAAAAATTGTAAAATAAGTTATTCAACTATTCGAATTATTTATTAATGTACATGAAGTATGATAAAAACAAATTGTATAAAATACTAGTTAAAGTATCTAGATTCTGGAAGCAAAATCAGTTTATGAGATTTATCAAGAATTTGAAAAGTTCTAGATTCTAACTTAGACTAATGTATTTTTTAAATTTTTTCCTTATGCTTTACGAAAATTATCTAAATGTTGTGAATAATAATAAATTAGAATCAAAACTGAGTTAAGAGGTACAAAAAAAAGATTTTGCTATTGAGAAAACAAATATTATAGCAACATAATGCAGCAAAAAAATATAGTAGCAGCATAATGATACATTAGGAAAGTACCCAATACATTGATAACAATCTTGGAGAGAGTTGATTTACTAAACATTTAAAGCAGCTTCGAAATGTGAAGGCTACTACGAGATGTTTTTTTTTTTGGTGCCATTAGGGGTATGAATTTTCCCCCTATAAGAGAGTTTGTAATCAACTAATAAAAATTAACTTTGTTTAAAAGTTCTTGCAATTAATTTTGAACTCATTGTCTTTCGAAAAGTAGTGAAATAATCAGAAACTTATTCTCTTTACTATGATTTAACTTTAGACCGACACATATCATTATTTTAACGATATTATTATTTCAATGAAACTATCTACGGCTTTTTTCTAATCCGTTCTTAACTTTAAGATTAGTTTTTTGTTATCAAATACTACTCTCTTGTAATTTTTATGGTTATTTATTGTACAGTTTTTCTTGACGAGTTAGGCTTCTCTTTCACTGCCAGAAACAGTACCATAGAAAAATAAGAATAAAGTGCTCCAAACCCACATAACTCTGTACTAAGCTATGTCCTGCGGTGCGAGAGAGACAGTTGCATAATTACCATTTACGATTTCTTGGTTATTTTTCACTGAGCATAAATTAAACCCAATACTTTTTTACAGTAGAATGATATTATAAATAGCATAAATTACTTTTCGTCTAATAATATGAATTTGCACTAACTTGTAATTGTTTGTATGCTTAACTAAGTTCCGTTGTACTGGGTAGTATTGAAAAGTTATTTATAAGTTTTATCGTAATTTTTTCAACTTTTTTAGAATTGGAGACAAATACTGACTTAATTAGAAATGTAATCTACATCCAGGCATAATTATGTTTTTCTTTATGGTTTAACTAGTTAGAAGAATCTTTTAGTTATTTTTAGTCTTTTTTTGACAGTTTTTGTTATTTTGTTTTTTTAAGGCTGTTTAGCAAAGTCCAGCCTTCTGCCACCCTGTTGACTGCGTCTATGCACGAAAAATCGTTATTCAAATTGGGTTATTGGCGTAAAATGTAAGATAATGTGCTAAAAGACCGAGAATTAACTTTAGCTCAAACCAATACACAAATTTAGAAATGCAATATTTGGATACTAAGAAATTCACTAATTTTCGGGCGTATTTGAAAAAAAAATTTACAAAATGAATTCGACTTGGAATTTACACTACTTACTGACTTTAATTTGAGATGAAAGAAAGGATGGTACTACGTTAAATAAGGAAAAATTTGCTATTTATGAGCTACAACAAAGATGTATCCTCAAAGAAGGAAGCCCCGAAGAAATAAGTCCCTGGAAGAACGAGCAACCAATACCAGAAAGAATAAAAAGATTGAGGTACAAAACAATTTTCTGGTGTGAGCATGCAAACTGTGAAAAAATTTACTCCACACGACGAAACAAAGAAGATTCGAAAAAAACCAGCAAGTACTTGAAATTACAGTGAAAAACTGTAGATCGCTCCGTAGAAACTGTAACCTCGAAATGACCACGCCCCTGGTGAATCTTCCAAATTCTTGTTTCTCAGTTTGGCGGCACCAGCCCCTATCCCCTTGATTTACCTTACGCCTCTCAGATGACGCCCAACAATTAGTGCGATGATACAAGGCAACAATATAAAATAAGACCGGCTAAACACGAACAAAAACCAGCATGAAACGAGTCCTTTGCCAGTGCTAGACGTACTTCCACACGTATACGTGTTGCAAGGCGTCCTTATCCGCCACTCGTGTGGTGGGGCGTAAGTTTTAGCCATTTTTGACTAAACAAAAATGTCAACTTTAAAAGTATCCTATGCTAGATTTGTTTTCTCAGTTGAGTCACTATAACTGACATGTCATTTGGAACTCACTTCAAATAATACAAATTTTTTTCTTTTCAATGTTTTAATAGTATTTATCTCTCAATATTCATAACTACGTGCTTTGTCCAAACTTTAATTTAAAAATTAGCCACTATAACATTGCTTGTCTGGGTNTATACTAAATTTAAGAACAATCAGTTTTGAACTTTTTGATTAATTAGCGATCGGAATTTTTAAAAGAATTTAGTTGCATATATATGCACCTAAGTTTCTAGTGCCATCTATATTTAATGAAACCTGGCTTAAAAACTAAAAACTATTAAAATTTGTTAACCTGTTAGAATTAAGCAAAAAAAAATTAATTTTTATTGATTTCATCC